TTGTAACAGTTTTATGCTCTTAAAAAATAAGCTCTTATAGAATATATTTTATTTTTTAACTATATCAGTTTATTTTAAAATGTAGTTTTAGAAACTTCAGGGGTTACTCCATAGAAGTGTGGTAGGCTTTTAGATTGCAAAATCTATGGGAGTCCTGAAAATTGATTATTTCTATTTTAATAGGACAGCTGAACTCCAGTTGGATCACTGTGGTTGTGGTGCTTGCTGGTACCACAGATAAGTAACAGGCCTTGTGGAATAGTTTTATTTGCAAAACATACTTATGGAGGCTCTCTGGTGAAGGATTGTTTTCGTGTCTGAATTGTCCGAATTACTGCAAAATGAGAGTTGCTGTAATAGGTCATGTGGAAGCTTGTGAAGAGTTTGGGTCATGTGAAACAGTCATTATGGCTGCTGAAAGGCTCAAAAAAGGAGTATTTCAGTTTCTTCTTGTGGTGGTTATGCCTGTGAATAAGTATCAAGACAAATGATATCAAATAATTTGTGCCACACAGTTCTGGATGAGTGTGAGGTAATGTCTCTTTAATATTTTATCGCTTAGGCATTTCGCTGCTTTAAATTATCTTTTTTTAGGTCTTTTGATGTAACCTGAATGTAAACAGCTTTAAAATGTATTTTGCTTATGAGGTATGGAGAAATGAAATTTAAAAAAAAAAAGAGGCCTTCCTATTATTTCTTCAGGCTCCCCATTTCTGATCTTCCTCTGTTTTGTTAGAAGTTTTGGATATGTAGTCTTACTAAAGTTTTAGTTGAAGTAAAAAAAAGGTCTGTTTTGAAGGTGAAATGTTCGGAAGTGAATTGTCATTTTGCACGTCTATATAGCCAGCCACTTAAGTTGGATTCTTAGCTTGGGGAGTTTGTGCCCTCTTCCTTTGCAAGTCACATAGCTGTGGATGAAACATATATGACGTTCTTGTCTGCGACCTGTCCTGAGCCATGGTATTATCAAATCTTTTCCCTCCCTGCTTTGTTTTGGGCTCTTGTTTGGCTAGTTTCATTTTAACAGCAGGTGTGTTAAAAGCCTGCATCTTCTTTGTCAGGGCACCAGCTTTGTTTTTTTCCACTTTTCATGTGCTTCCCTTCAAGCAGTGAATCCTGAAGACAGTCTTGTGTGAAGTGCCTGCGTGCCCTGAGGATTGCTCCTGGGCCAGGCTTCCGGGGAATTCAGCCTTCTCGTTGTGTGGCTGTTTTGTTAGTGGACTGAAACACTGAAGAGCAGTTTGTATTTTAAATAAAATATACACGCACTCGCACACAATTTTTTTTTTCCCTTAGCCTTGTTCTTCAGCAGTTCTGTAAAGCACCCTCTCCCTCTCCCCACCCTTTTCTCCAGAGATGGATTCTCCAGTTACTCATACTCAGACGCTGTAACCGTCGCTTTCCGATTTGGACTCTTCCCACTCTCCCCACCTGGATTTTTCTTTAAGACTTTTCTGCAGTGCCGAGGCAGTAGCTCGCTGGAGTAGGTTTGCCCTCTGTGACTAATCCAAAAGGCTTTTTGGACCTAATTAAAGCTGATATTTTCCAGGAGCACCTGGTAGCAGCCTCTGGGCTATGCCTTCACTAGCGGGTATTTTACCTCAATGAGTATGTTCTCTTTATGGCTCTGAATAATGAGGCAATTCAGCAAATAGCCTCTGCTGTGTGGAAAAACTCCAGTGTATGCTCATCCTTTTAGTATGTGAAATAGATTCGCAAGGACTCTGCCAGACTGAACTGCCCCAGGGGAGAAGTGGCCTTCCAGTGCGACACACCAGTTTCAGGCCTTAAATCTAAAACCTGCTTGTCTCTTTTCAACAATCGGTATTTGAGAGCTTCTGGATTTTTGCAGATCTCATGCCAACAGGTAGCACTGAGGGATTCCCTAATCTTATAAACAGTCAGCCAAGCACATACTGCTGTGTGTTTAGTTGTCTCTGAAGCTATAATAAAGCCATTGTTATCTCCAGACAATAGACGCGCCAAAGAAGATGCCAGAAGTGGTGGAGGGCCTGCTGTATAAACAAAAATGCCTATCCAAAATTAGATTCACCTGGCAATAGCCCATCTTTTCATAGTCTAGACAAAATTAACAGATAATTGGATTAGCTTCAGAAACCTCTACCATAAGTGAGAGTTTTTCAGGCTTTTTCCAGAACCGGGAATTTTCTGCAGCTAACCTTTCTTGTGCACGAGTGAGAAGTTGCAGCGTTTTGCTCCGAGACTGTTTTCAGAATGCCTGTCTCGGTTTGGTCAGAGACCTCACTCATGTGTGTTTTTCTCTACTACTGCTTGCTCCTGGGAGCTTGCAGGAAAGCAAGACTGGTAGTTGTGGTTTTAATGTGCCTATGGACATAATTACTATTAGAAAGGAAGGTTGTTTTTCAGCCGCTGGAAGTATAAGGGATGCCTTTCTGTACGGAAAAAGCCACAGCTTTTCCACGTACCTGCTCTACTGTGGAAACCTGGTGGGATAAGTTTGAAGTTGGAAAGAACTGAGGGCATGTTTCATATTTTGCCCATTGTGTTACCTACCGCATATGGCATGCGATCTTGTAAACTGGCAGTGTGCTCCACTAAGCACTGCTGTGAGAGAAACAGCTCCCCTTGATGGGATCACTTGGGTGTGCCAGTGGAGAGAGGTCTTTAATTCCTCCTTGCTTGTGGCTCTCTCTTGTTCGCTCCCCCAAGCAGTCATTCTGTATTAGAACGACGTAGAAGCCATACAAAGCCTTGAGCAATCTAAATACAAATCTTTCTCCTGTTAATTGCCTAGCCTTTTAGCTTTTTATTACTCACAGTATTTCCTGTTCTTTTGTTTCTTTTCTTGGCTGGAAATTCTAGCCAGGAGAGAAAGCACTGGAAACTAGGCTCCCCAGGACAGTCTGTGGTGCTGTGAGAAATCCTAAAGAAAAAACTTTATGCTGTTCTTTTCCAACCTCTCTGTATTTGTTCAAGTTTTTTGTATTGTTATCTCTTTTCTCTCTTGCTTAATAACTTCTGATAGTTTTCTAGGTGTATATATATGTGTGTGTGTATATATATATATACACACGCACATATACATATATATATATATTTAGTTCTAGCACTCCTACTCTTGATTTACCAAATAAGATCTTTGAACTTATGTCTACATGAAGGCATCAACACTTTGAACTTAAGTCCATCTTGAGCTGTTTTCAGTCCTAATGAGCAGAGGTATGTGGTTTTTGGGGTGTTCTTAACCTCTTGGTTGCTTTAGGTAGTTCCTATCTGAATATGTTCTTTTCCTGCTGACACAGTCAAAAATATAAAGGTGACCTTAATTAAGTGTCATTTAACGATCTCATGTTGTTGTGGCTGATATGCAGCTATCAGAGTAGTGCCATAGTTCTTAAGCTATCAACGGCAAAGCATTGATTGTAATCAAACAGAAAAAATTACTGGGTACTGGTAGTGTTTGGAAACTGTAGCAGTAGTCTTGATTTGTGCCCTGCTCTGAGTTGCCTTTTGCAGTTCAGCCAGGTTCTGCTGTGCCATCCGCCCCCTGCCAGGGGCAAGGAAGGAGCAAAGTTATGGGTATTCGTCCTTTTCCCTGGTTGACTAGGGAAGCAGAGCTGCTGTGCTCTGTCCGGAGCTGCACCAGTGCCCTGCAGTGCAGGCTCAGCCTCCAAAGCAAGATCAGAACTGCTGATGGAAATAGGAAGTTCGTGTCCCTGTTTCTACTCTTAAATTATCATTGATTCTTGTCTATGGTGTCTAATAGTACTACAATACCTAGAAGTGTTTTCTGTGATTCTCCCAATCAATCAATTCCCCCTCCCCCAATATTATGAAAGATTCAAATAGTTTGTCCTGTTGCTCTCTTACTGCTCTAATGCTGAAGGAAATGGAAGTACTTAGCCTACAGCAAATAAAACCGTTGGTTTACAATCTCTTCATGTTCGAAGACAGATAGACAGTCAAGATTCAAGAATTTCTTTAAAGAAGGGTTAGATCATCCTGGTGTTGAACATAACTGCATGCTGAGCATGTTATAGTTTCCCCTGTGCTGCCAAACCGTCAGTCCTAGCGTAGAATCTATATGCAGTTATTTAACAGCAGAATTTTTCAGGGAATTACAGGAAATAGGCTACTTTCTTACAGGTGTCCAGAGAAAACTGCAAGGAAAAGCTACATATGAATATGCTAATGAATATGCTTATTAAATACTTATTCCTGAGTTGTTATAGGAAAACTGGTAGATAACCAAATACTTTAATGAAAGCTATGGTAACGAGGCTGGAGAAATTTCAGAAATTTAAGAAGGCAACTGAAGCACAGAGGTTGTGTGATCTGAAGTGAAACCCGGGAGGCAGGGAAGGTTTTCCTCTGTCTATCTGAACATCTAACTAAAATGCAATAGAGAGCACTTATAGGAGCCTAAGTTCAGGTATAGTCAGTGAAGAGATGTTGGCATATCAAAAGGGCGATTCAAGATCCCAAAGTTAGATGTTTCAAGTTAGAGCTAGTATCTCTTTGTAAGCTACTTATTTGTCCAATGTGTGATAGTAGGAGAGAAATACTGTGGTTGTGGGTTGTTTTTTGTTTTTTTGGTGGTGTCTTTTTGTGACTAAGGTTCAGGCCGGTGTGCTGCATTTATTACTCCTAATGGTATTAGGAGTTACTCTGCCTACCTGCTATTTTTAACTTAACTGTAGCTGTGCACTTGGAAAGTTTTGCTTAGTCTGAGGTTTTCATGGAGACTTGCACTGCCAGAGATTAAGGAGATAACTCAGAGGAACTTGTCACTAAGTATTTGCTTGCTTGATTTGGTCAGCTAATTTTTTTAGGGTTGTTAACTAAAGCTATGATGGATCCTGAGGAGAGTGTAACATCCAAGAAAAGTGATAGGTTCACTGTGGTCTGCTTCATCCATTAACACAAAAGTAAAGAACAAAGCTGTGTGTACTTCTAGCATGAGCTTTTGCAAATGTTTGCATGTAAGTGACCTTTTTTGTTTGTTTACAGGTCCTTGATTACTGGACTGGTGAGGTCAGTAGTAGCTATGTCAGCGCAGGAATGGGGAATCTGCCTGAGGGGAAAAGGTAAGACCAGTTTTATTCACTACTGAGTTCAACAGCTAAGCCTTTTGCCTCATAGACTCCCTGCTCCTGCATTAGTCATAGGTGCTGCTGACCTCACCAGTCCAGTTGACATTGGAACAGCTTAGCATGAATGGAAAGCCAGAAACGTCTGGACCACACCTTCAAGATCTGGAAGAAAGGGGTGGAAAGAGTTGTGCTGTAAATAGATATTCATGATGCTTTAGCCTGGGAATTCAATTATTGTAATATTTTGAGCCAAATGCTGGGATCTGGTTTTGTGCTGGTGTTTTGTCCTTTGGTAGGAGGAGAAATTAGGCATGGAAAGTAGATGCTTTCTATTACTATTGTGATGATCAACTGGTGTGTTGCTGGGAAAAATTATCTGTGCGTACAGCAGGAGTCTGGGCACAGGAGTTCTTGTGTTCTGTGGAGCGTTGCCCAAGTAACTTCAACTTTTCTTTAGTTTCTCTGTTTTACAGGGTGGGAATATACTTTATTAAATTACTTGAAAGCTTGGATGAAAGCTTGGTGGTTGGTGCTCTGGTTGTCTGCACCTGGAATGCCCTGGAATGGTTACCTTTGTGCATCTTCATGTCCTGCAGGTGTAGGGATTTTTTTTTATGTCCGGCAGGTGTAGGGACCTGCAGTGCTTCCCTCCCCTCCTGTCTGTCCCCAGCCTCCAGTTTTACCAAGGAGGGTAAACAAAATAGTGTCGTGTTCAACAGTGTGCGTGTTTTCTGGAAAAGCTTTAGTTTTAAAGCCTAACTTTTTAGTTCAAGCTCGTTGTTGTTGATTTACTTTCTTTTGTGTCTGCTGATGGTGACTTTTAAAGCAAGGAAAGATGCTGCTTGTGTCTTGGCTCTGATTCTGCCACCTATTTCTGAATGTTCATCCCCTGGAGTGAAAAGCTGTCTGTTGTGTCAGTGTGCAGGGCTTCTCCCTGATTCACAGTTAATTGCTTTGCTTGATGCCTAAGTGCTATCTGGATGATTAATCATTATCTTCTTGGATGTGGAGTGCTCCCTTTTACAGAAGAAATAGTGCTCTGAGCTTATATTCACAGCAGTGCAGAAAAGACTTTTTTTTTTTCCCCACGTAGCTCAAGACCAGCATGTCACCCTCCTCTGTGATACCACCTGTATTGATAGTAAGATCTGAACAGCCTGTTTATAACATTTATATTTAGTCTGTTTAGAAGTTATATCTGTCTAATTCACCCAATAATTGTTAAAAGGCACAAACAGTCCAGGTGGTTCCTGCAGAGCACTGATGATAACTTTTTGACACAGGTGGTGGAGAAGCCCATGAGGAGAGGTGTGCTGCTGGACATGATATTAACAAGCAAAGGAGGACTGGCTGGAGATGTGAAGGCTGGGGGCAGCCTTGGCTGCAGTGACCATGAGATGGAGTTCAGGATCCTGTGAGGATGAAGCAGGGCAATAAGTAGGATCAAAACGCTGGACTTCAGGAGAGCTAACTTTGGCCTCTTCAGGGACCTACTTAGGCAATCCCATAGGGTAGGGTCGGGTCCTAAAAGGAAGAGGGGTCCAAGAAAGTTGGTTAATATTCAAGCATCGCTTCCTCCAAGCTCAAGATGGGTGCGTCCCTCGGAGTAAGAAGTCTAGCAAAGAAGGCAGGAGACCTGCATGGATGAGCAAGGAACTCCTGACAAAACTCAAAACAGAAGAAGGAAGTCTACAGAATGCGGAAAGGGGGACAGGGCACGTGGGAGGAATACAGGCACGTTGTTAAGAGTATGCAGGGATGCAACAAGGAAGGCTAAGGCCCATTTGGAATTAAATCTGGCAAGGGATGTCAAGGACAACAAGAAGAGCTTCTTCAAATACATCAACAGCAAAAGGAAGACTAGGGAAAATGTGGGCCTGCTGCTGAACGGGGTCAGTGCCTTGGTGACGAAGGATACAGATAAAGCAAAGTTACTGAATGCCTTCTTTGCTTCAGTCTTCACTGCTAAGGCCAGCCCTCAGGAACTCCTGACCCTGGGGACCAGGGATAAAGTCTGGAGAAAGGAAGACTCTCCCTTGGTTGAGGCAGATTGGGTTAGAAATCATTTGTGCACACTCGACATCCACAAATGTGTGGGCCCCGATGGGATACGTCCACGAGTGCTGAGGGAGCTGGCAGGTGTTGTTGCTAGGCCACTCTCCATCATCTTGGAAAGGTCCTGGAGATCAGGAGAGGTGCCTGAGGACTGGAAGAAAGCCAGAGTCACCCCAGTCTTCCAAAAGGACAAGGAGGAGGAGCCAGGGAACTACAGGCCTGTCAGCCTCCCCTCCATCCCTCGAAAGGTGGTGGAACAGCTCATCCCGGAGGCCATCTCTAAGCATGTGGAGGACAACAAGGTGAACAGGAGTAGTCAGCGTGGATTCACCAAA